TATATATATATATTATTCCTTATATCCTTTTCTTGGATTATTAACAAAGTGAAATTCTAACTAATAAAAAAATAAAAAATTATCTTTGTGTGGACTAAGATATTTTGGCTGAAAGCCCGTGACTAATACTCCATGTTATTAAAATTTATTCATGGCATGTTTACTTCGGTGTTTGAATCAATAAATTAGACATTTCAATGTGAAGAAAGAAGAAAAATGAGTTCTAAATATACTCTCAATAAGTTGACACTACAAGAAAATTTATATTTAGTGATAATAATATTCATCACTAAAAATTTAAAAAATCATTACTATATATATCTTGTGACGATATTTTCATTTGTCACCTATCGTTACTAATATTCGAGTCACTGTTAAATTAGTGACGAATTTTTGTATGTCACAAAAAATAATATCTATTATGATGAAATTATCATCACTAATGTTTATAAATAATAGTGACAAAATTTAAGCTATCACAAATATAAAGGACAATAGTGATGATTTAATCGTCACTATTAAAATTATAATCACATATACTATCATTATTAGTGTCAAAAAATATTTCAAACTAATTATTATTTTCTTTTATTAACATTTTGTCATTAATTTTTTAAATAATAATACTTATGTCATTATCACTAAATTAATTTTTGAATACCATAATTATACACATTTATTTTTAAATATGAAAATGAATACAAGTAAAATAAATACACATTATAACAAATATTGTAACACCCTTACTACCCCAACACATACATCATAATAATGTAATCTTAACAATTATACAGATCATGATTTGATGGAGCCTTTATTCATATAAAAGAGAAATTCTTTTTTTTTCCTATTCAATTTAAGATATGACATTGAAAAGAATACAAATCTCTTGGTACAGAAAGAATGATCAACTTGCCCAATTTGATGATTTGAATTGAAAGAGTTGCTGGTTGTACCAACATCCAAAACATTCTTGATCAGTCTATTGCTATGCGTATGTTATCTTTGATTGCAAAACTAGCTCATTAACACTTAACTGTAGTCTTACCACCCAAGGATAAGGATCAAACATTTCCCCAATGCTCAACCAAACTTGCTTTGGGTTCTGGCCATCCACTTGATATTGACTTGGTTCTTTCATAAAATCCCCCATACCCTTCCAAAACGGATTAATCTGTACAAATGGATCGAAGTTAATAGCACTTAGGTAGAAAAGTAAGCAACAACATGATGCCAACACAAGAAAATGTTCTTGAATTTCCATCTCAGGTTTATTAATTGAACCTAAACGGGGAGGTTTCTAACTGTTGCTAATTATACTTGGAAGGTGAGTTAACATATGTTTCTTCCTAAAGCCAACACACACACATAACAACATCCACAAGAATATAATTATTTTTTTTTCATTATTTTTAAAATATATACAATTTCAATTGATGTAAATTAACATAGTATTAAATAATATTTTTCATTAATATAAGATTTTATAGATAAAATTTATATAATGGAAACTTTCAATCCAATAGTGAATTTTTTAAGTTATTTAATTATGTTGTTTTAACTTACGTGGTCTCAATCTTTTTACGTACAAACAAGGCCCTCTCATATGATATCTCACTTGTATGAGAATGTATATGGTGAAAAAGCTATTTTTATATTAAAGTAAACAAAAAATCTTGGCCATATAACTATGCAAGGATCGTCAAGTCAAGAGCAAAAAGTATAAGTCACATAACCATCTGACTTTTTAAAAACTCGACTTTTTTGTTAAAATCTTAAAGATCATATGGCTAATATTTGTTTTTCACTTTAACAAAAACAAAAATAAGTCCTCTCATTTGATGTCTCCTGTGTGTGTTAGCCCCCGATATGAATTCACAATTGTTGGAACCCAAAAAATTTCGATCTTAATCATAAATAGTTTATACTTCCGTTTTGAAAATCTCATTGGTTAAGAAATACCCAGAGACCAAATTAATTCCTAACCAACAGTTTTTGAAAAAGGTTCAAAGGAGTCGCCATCGATATTTTACTCAAAATATCGGAAAAGAAAAGATTTTGAAATTACAATAAAGGCCTTCATAACCAAAATTAGATTCGGGAGTCGGTTACGT